TGAGAAGTTGCACATACTTTTAGTTTGGGTTGGGAAATTTTGTTTTTGAGCTCAAAATCTAATAAACATTACAATTGATCATAACTAATGAATCCTATTTCATTTTTCAACTATTTCGCTTTTACCTATATCAGACTGCACAACGCTTCCCTTATAGCTAAAATAAATTTCCTCCCACTCCGACAATGGGAAATGAACAAGCTGGCATAGTTTCTTCGTAGAATTCTACCGCTGGGAATTCAAATTAATTAATCACAGTAATCCAACATTCTACTTTCTTAGTATGAAGGGAAACTTGGTGGTTTTGAAAATAAATGATGAAAAAATGTATTTTTTGAATTACTAATGAAGCCTGAGTGTCATTTGTGACTCGTTTTATCAGAACTTTTTATTAGAATGTGATGGGGAGCTTTTTGGTTTCTTAGGAGAGTTCAATTTTCCAGAGTGTATTACATTAGGATAGATTAGTAGTAACAGTACTCTTAAGACAATATTATTGACTACCTGCGCATCGCGTGGTGTGCACCTTGTTTATATTATTAACATCAGGTTCAAATATCCCATTCAATACAACCACCTAATTAGTGTTCATGTAATTAAAGTTCATATCATTCAAAATAATAGCTGCGCCAACATACTTAATCTAAAGCTACAATAAGCGGCCATGAACATAAAACGTGCATCATTCAATGTGACATGCAAGTCCCATAAGAAAATACATAAAAACTGGGATGAGGTAAACGTAAACCTTTATAAAACACTCAAGTACTATTATTAACCTGTGCATGGCGTGGTAGAATTGCAGTCCAGCACTACATGTACTACGCCATTGACTGCAAGTGCCATGAATTCTACTGCAACTGATGGAGGTAGTGAGTTATGTTGTCTTTATTATTATTACTATTATTTTTGTTATACACTTATACCTGGAGTTAGTAACTTGGTATTTATATGATCCCATTGTCTCTCCTACAGAGCCTCATCATGACTGTCTTGCCAATTACTACTGCCGCTGGATCCTCTGGTGGTCCCACCACACTAATTATGTGGTTGTGCCATGTAGTTTATATAATTAACATCAAGTTCAAATATCCCATTCAACACAACCACGTAATTAGTGTTCATGTAATTAAGCTCATATCATCCTAAATAGCAGCACCAACATAATCCACGGCTACAATAAGCCAACATAAACATAAAACTTGCATCGTCCATGTGACATGTCCCATAAGAAATTAGGTAGAAGTGGGATTGAGGTAAAGTTAAAATTTTTCATTGTGTGGTAAGTACCGGGTGGTGGGACACCAGAGGATCCAACAACAGCTGCAGTAGTTCCTCCGTGCATGGCAAGACAGTAATGATGTAACCAAGAAAAAAAAAATTTAAGACACAACAAACTTAATACTGAAATAACTCACTACCTCCACCAGCTGCAGTAGAATTCATGGCACCCGTAGTCAATGGCATAGTACATGCAGTGCTGGACTGCAATTCTACCTCACAATTGCAGGAAACATTCGAGGATCCTGCAAGTTAAAGAAAAAGTTAAAACGATAATATCCCATGATTAGAAGAATGTCAAAAATACTATAATAATGCAGCAAAATATATCCATACCTGCTAAATTTCCCGTTGACAGTTCAAGGTCCCACAAGTTAAAGAAAATTATCCATGTCTAATAATTTGCATGTTCCGTCCTTGTGAACTTTTGAAAACATGCACATCATGTGTGGAATAGGGGTGGAATCCAGACCCATTTGTGGGTACAGAGGGCTGTGATGAAATAGTAAATTATATTAAAACCTATAAAGAAAAGGTACATGGTTGGAACTTGGAAGGAAGTAGGGCACAGATAATCGCACCATCAAAACTTCTTCGAGCTTCTTTAATTCTTCCTTGAACTCTTGTTCTTCCTTTTCCTAAAGGCTTTGAACATGACAGATTCCAGGCTCCTCAAAAAAGGCCTTTTATTCTTAGAGTTGAAACTGCATTTACAATTAAAACAGAATATATGAGAATTTTAAAAGAATATAATTCAAGTAAACATCAATCATTCAAAACAATAAAGATTCAATCATTTATACGAAATAATTTTTTTCCCACAAATAAACTCTTACATGGTAGACAAATAAACTCATCCATTATTACAACACAAATAAACAGATCCTACACAGTAGAACCTATAGAAAATCCTCAAAATAACATACAAGAAAACTGCACCCATAACAAAACATAGAGCAATTTCTGGAGAAAAAGTTTGCTGCAGCCCTAGGCCAGGAGAGTATGAGGGAAGGTGGAAACTCAGCTGTAAGCTCAAGGGCTCATCACCTAGTCATGGGAGCTCCCTTCTTATTTTATTTATTTCGGGAGCAGTTTCTGCCATGAGTGTCTCTATTGCTCTTCTAAATTCAGTAGGTTGTTTTTAGCATGTATTAAAATTGACTAATAACTATATATTGCTCAGTTATAGCTTGAAGCCATAATCTGTTATATGAACTTACTCAGCTCCACCAGCAGAGGTGCCCATGATGAGCTCAAGGCCTCCTTATCATGAGCAGCTTCCTTCGATTGTATTTGTGTACCTTCTTTGGTTGAGAACGGAGGTCCTTGAGTAGCCAGTGCAGCTGTCGATTGGCAGTAATTCTGGCAAGCCTCAGCCATAAAACCCACCAATTGGGGGATGACTTGGAGTAGGGTGAGCAGTTGCAGGCTTTTGCCCCAACAGGCTCCATCCAGTTCTTCCTCACTTTTTCTCTTTAACTCCTCTGCTCGCTCAAATGGAGTTCCCATTGCTGTCACATTAAAAACAAAAGAGTTAGCCCTCAAAAATTAAGGCAGCAAAGTGCCCTTCCAGCCCCAGGTGGGCTGGAAAAGTTCACCAAAATCCTTGGCCCATGCCAAGGTCCAAGTTGCTGTAGCAACAATTGTAAAATCCCCACTTCCCCAGAGCCACTTGAATTCACCATACCTCCAAAGGTACTTGAATTCACAGCAGTGAGACCCTCTAATCCCCCTATTTGAATCATTTTAATATTGGGTCTGGGGTACGGTTAGGAATGTGTAAACACTGTTGCATACTTCAACATTGGAGTTTTAATTCAACTTGAAAATCAAATGGACAAATTACAACATTTTAAAACATTTCGACTAGATTAGACAAAATTGAAAACATGCATGTGTAATTGCATCAAATTAAAAGTTAAGAGACTGATTTGATCAAATTTGAAATCCAAGGGACTACTTTGAAATTATTTAAAAGCTAATGGACTAAATTGCTGAGAAAAGGTGTAAATAAAAATGTTAACTTTATAATTTTTTATAATTTTCTGTATTTAAAGATATTAACTTTGTCAATTTCTAAATAAAAATATCAACTTTTAATTTTTTTTTATTAACTTTCAAACTCTTTCTATTTTAAAAATGTCAACTTTAAACTTTTTCTATTAAAGATATTAACTTTTTTTTTTAAATCCATTTGCCACATCTAAGTCACCGTCCAATAAATCCTTAAATAGAAAAAATAAAAAATTAACATCCTTAAACAAAAATGATTAAAAGTTAATATCTTTGAATAAAAAAAGATTGAAAACATCGTGTGCAAAATTAACATCCTTATTTGCACATAGATTAAGGAAGTAAACAATTTAAAATTAATTAATCATAATAATTAACTTAATTGAATGGTTAATTTAACATTAATAAAAATCAATTATATTTAATTGATCTCTAAT